GCGGCTGTTGGGGCCGTTGGGGCGGCAGCGGATCCGCGCCCAGGGCTCCAGATGGAAGCGGCCCCGGATCTCGGGCCGGGGCTCTGCTGCAAACCTGGCGGGCGGCTGGACATGAGCCACGGCTTCGTGCACCACATCCGACGGAACCAACTCGCCCGGTACCGCCCTGCCCCCGCTGCCCCCCCAACCCCCAGCCAACCCTGCCCGGTTGTCCCTGATTCCCGCTCGGCTCCCCGCAGGGACGACTACGACAAGAAGGTGAAGCAGGCAGCCAAGGAAAAGGCGAGGAGGCGGCACACGCCCGCGCCAACGAGACCTCGCAAGCCCGATCGGCAAGTGTATCTGCCGCGACGCCGAGGTGAGGCCGCCCGCCCCGCCTGCCTTCAAGCCCGCGCGCTCTCTGCCAGCCCCGGGCCCTCTGCCTCAACGCAGGCCTCTTCTTTATATGGAAACAAACCACTTTCTATTCCCTAAGGTTTAGTTCATCTTGTCCCTTTCTGGAACCTCCACCTCGACGCTCCCTAGTCTCCGCTCAGTGATTCTTTCTAGAGAACAGGGAGGGCTCGTGGCCCCCAGTTAAACATCACTATTACAGAACATACCTGGGAGTCAGCAAGAAGTTGTCTGCCGATTTGCCCCATCATACAGTATATTCGTATTGCCACTACCTAACAGAGAAGAGGCTCGGCAGAGCTATAGGCGACGGGAACATAATGTAGAATGAGCCCAAACCCAGTTAAAAGTCCTTTTTCCCCAGTTTTTTTCCTCAGGCCTAGAGATCATAGTTAACATGTGATGCTAGATTTGTTGATCATTACATAAAGTGCTTTTAGGTCTTCTGTATATTAAATCATACTGTTTCCATAGGACTCCATAAAATAGGAACTGCTATGGTTTCTGTTTCAGTGAGTAAAAACAGCCTCAGAGAGGTTAAGTAACTTGCCCAAAAATCTCAGAGCTAGTAAATAACAGAGCCTGGATTTGAACCCAGGCAGAGCTTTATCTACCTTTCCACTATCTTCCAACCCTATTAACTAGAAAATGTGCATTGTATACCTACTGTGTGACAAGACTGCTGGCCCTGGAGAAGGGATACAAAGGTAAATAAAACTCCTGACTGGCAGCACATTTCACACACATACACACACACACATGCACATGCGTGCAAGCGCATGAAAAGATTGGGGATTTTTATATCTTTGAGTAGGGGCTCCAGCAGCCTTCTCCTTTTCCCTCTTACTCTGGTTCATCCTTCCAGATGGCTCTACCCACCCAAGCAACCCAGACTGTGAGGAGTCCGGTGAAAGCAGCAGTAGTGGTGGCTCCGAGCCAGAGCCTTCTGGCCGTCAGCTCTTCTGCTTAGAATATGAGGCAGACAGCGGAGAAGTCACATCAGTTATCGTGTATCAGGTACGCCTGGTGGAAACAGGTACAGCCTGAAGGTTTTGGGACATGGTAGAAATCACTGCCAGACGCTGAGCCACTGTTTTCATCAGGGCCAGTGGGAAGTGTCTGCTCCACATGAGAGCATAGACTGCTAGGCAGTGCTTTTGAGCACAACTCACTCCTGTCACACAGTGATTCTCAGCGGGCAACAGGGAGGTATCATGGCCTGCAGTTGAAAATCACTATCACAGGGGATACCTGGGAAATGACAGGCACTGGCAAGAATTGTGAGTCAGAGTTCTTTAAGAGTGTTGTCTAGGAACAGGGCAGGTCGCCTTTCCAGAAGAGGCCAGGCCCTGAGTTTCCTGACTCTTCCTCTACGTAGGACGATGATCCAGGAAGGGTGAGTGAGGAGGTGTCAGCGCACACGCCTCTGGATCCACCCATGCGAGAGGCCCTCAAGTTGCGCATCCAGGAGGAGATTGCAAAGCGCCAGAGCCAACACTGACCAGGCTGAAAGCATTCCCTCCTGGCTGGATTCACTGCCCCGGGAGTTCACCCCTAGTTTAGGGGTGCCAGGACCAGTCTGGGCTGATCTTGAGACACACATTTACATCCCAGAGCTGCCACATCCACAGGAAAAAAGTATTGTAGAGACTGCCTGGCCACCTCCTTTGTAGCCATTCTTTCTTGTATATTGGCCCATTTTACCAGCCTAATATTTTGGAATTTTTAAGAATTTTTTTTGGCTAGCTTGGTATTCTGAAAGCAGAGACTCCAGAGAAAGCCGAGGTCTGTGAAGCCTTGTGCCAACGTGCTGCTTTCTCACCGAGTTCATATCCCTGGGACACCAGGCCACTGCTGCTCCAATCAGCTATGTGAGCCATGTTTGTTATTTTCATTCATGTTTTCCAAGATCTTTTTTTCAGCTGTTTCTTTGTTCTTTCCTTTTTTTGGGGGGGGGGATGTGTGTGTGTGTGTCAGAGTCTAATCAGATCCATCCCACCCCCTACCTCCCAGTGTGACTTTGTACCTCCAGCTGCTCAGGACTCTGGAGGTGTGGGGTTCTGGGGATCTGCGTTTCTAACAAGCTCTCCCAGTAATTCTGATAACCAATAAAGTGGGAGATCTTCATTTTTAAGGCTGACTTGCAAGCATGTCTCCCCCTTCCATGGCTTTTTCAAGTTTCTGTCATGCCCTACTAATTTGCACTGTCTAGATAAGGAGACCTAGGAATATGATGCAGAACTAAATTTTAAGGATTTCTTGCAGCAAAACCTGTTTTGGTTAGGACTATGGAATTCCAGCTTTCAACCTCATCCCTAAAGGGGAATTATCAAATCAAGCTTGAAATTGCCTTTCCAAATATGATTTAACAGTCCTGAACGTACATACAAAGAGAAATTCAACATTAGCAATAACCGCCAGTTTCAACCCTAGTTGCAAAGAAAAAAAAAAGGCTGAAAACAACGCCCCAGAGGGAGAAACAACAACCTCTCATATGCTCTTTCCCCGCC